CAGAACCAACGGCTGACCGCGTGGAACGTGAAGAATTCATGAATGCTGCATGCAGATTGGTCCTCCGAATAAAGCTAAGAGATCGATCAAATTGAATGCTAGGCGACATTGCGGATGCAGAAGCGTATTAAGCACCGTAATTTGATGTGGTTCTAAATAAAATATTTCTGATTTCACCGTTACTTGTCTTACCAATATGGCAACAGTTATTCAACAGTTCCATCGGTTCATAAAATGCGGATAAACATTAGGCGCTTCGTTCTGCCGAATGTATGTTCTGCTACGCGTATTTTCCTTCGCAAGTCCATGATGCTCTATCTTTCATTAAATACCTAAGGGCGTAATTATGACCGGTTAAAATATTAGTTCTCAACTTTTCAACTTGACAAATAAAAATTTCAAATTTAGCTTCCATTTATTTAATTCATGTATGGCGCATTTGCACTGGCACTTTCTGAAACTCAATAGAGCTCAGTGCGCTTGCAACTACAGTAGGCTTATATTCCGCGCGGTGATATTTGAGAACACTTTGAACAGTTCTGGTTATGGAACCCTTGCCCAAGTTTTCCGTAAAGACGATTCGACAGCTGTGTATCACAGAGTTGCCTAGCGCTTCAATGATCCCGCAGATCATCATTCAGCGAGAAATACTATTTCACTGTGATGCCACAAACCGGGATAGCGTTCGCTGCCCCAGTCACAACGAAAACTTCTTTTAATGAAAACCCAATGATCTTATCTGTGTATATGTGGTAATTTTGTTCATGCAGCAAAGTTATTGTGTGTACGAAATTGCGTCCGCGATTTCGAAAAAAATTCAGCGATTGGAAAATCTCCTCTGACTTCGTTCCTCTAAAAGTTAACAGCCAGTGAATGTGATACTCGATTCAAAGCAGACTTTAGCAGCATGGAAACGTAGCAACCGGCATCGATGTCGTTCTCACTAGTAGCTGAAATATTTTCGCCACCTTACTCTAAATGTTGAAACGCCTTGCTTAAAGTAAATTTTTTAATTGCTGTAGCAAGCATTTAATTTCTATCTGCATATTAAAAGGATCGAGTAATCACGAGACAGTATTTTTTGACATAAACACGGAAGAAAACTATCATCAACAGCAATCAATGTACAATTATCGGATATAAATAACTATTCAAAGTTCGACACTGAACTATGAGTCAAACTAGTGATAGTGACAGAAATTCAGGAGTTAGTGTTGAAGCATGATTACTAGCACTTTTGACGCAAGTCTTTTGATGCATGATCACTGTGCGGAGGCTTATGCATTGCGGTTATGGACGCTGGTTTGCCTTCAAAACAGTTGTTCCATTCGAAATGCGCTGCTCAGATGTCGAACCCACCAGAACCGACTGCCAACAGTGCAAAGGTACAAGAACACCGGCGCTGACATTGCAAATATACTGCCTTTCAACTGATACGTGTAAGTAGTTTTCACAGTCATCAACAAACGAGAAAATTGTCTACTAAGTACGACACATGGGCGCTCATTTTATGAACGAAGTTGGTCGATGGAGCAGAAATGCTTCTCCATCAAGTGAGTCTTGAACATGCTTATAGTAAACATGATTTTGCCACAGAAGTTGCAAGGAAATCCTTGGCCGCAGTGCAAAACCGAATCGGTTGCGTTCGTCCAAGGAAGCGTTTTATTC